CGTACAAGTCAAACTTGCCAATAGCACTCAACATCCCCCACTCCCCAGATGGCAATACTAGCTACACTACTTACGAACTTCCTGCTTAAAACATCAGCCACTACGTTAGCCTTTTCCGGATAATAATGTAACTCAAAATTATAATCTTTCATAAATTCCATCTACCTCCTTTGCCTTAAATTCAAGTCCTTCCATGATAATAAATGCTTTAAACTCTTGTGATCGGAAAACACTTCGAATCTCTCCCCATATAGGTAATGCCTTCAAATTTTTAAGGCAAAAATCACCGCCGCTAACTCTAGGTCATGAGTGGGATAGTTTTTCTCATATGTTTTCAACTGCCATGAACTATACGCTACCACATTCCCTTCTTGCATCACTACACAGCCCAAACCTTCCCGAGATGCATTACAATAAACAAATAACCCAAACCCCTCTCCGGAATAATCAAAATTGGGGCAGTGGTCACTCTAACTTTAAGTTCCTGGAACGACTTCTCACGAGTCTCATCCCACACAAATTTGACTCCCTTCCTCGTTAGCCTAGTTAAAGGTGAAGCTAGTCTAGAGAAATCCTTCACAAACAGATGGTAATACCCAGCCAACCCCAAGAAACTATGGATCTCAAAAGCGTTCTTAGGTTGTGCCTAATCTTGCACTGCCTCTATCTTGGATGAATCCACAGTCACCCCTTCTCCGAATACCACATGGCCTAAGAACTTAACCTATTTTAGCCAAAACTCACACTTCCCAAACATAACATACAACTTGTGGGCTCTAAGTAACTCAAGCACCACTCGCAAGTGTTCCTCATGTTCCTTTTCGGAGGTGAATAAATCAAAATATCATCTACGAAGGCGACCACAAAATGGTCTAGAAACTCCTGGAAGATCCGGTTCATCAAATCCATAGATACAGTCAATGCATTGGTCAGCCCAAAAGCGGGGTATACAAAAATGAAACACATCATGAACCTCGGAAAGTTGGAGCGGTAAGGCCAAATGATAAGCTACATCCCCAATTCGCTCTAGAATCTCAAAAGGTCCAATAAATTTAGGAGACAACTTTCTGCTCTTTCGAAACAATAGTCACTGGGATCCCATGAAGTCGCACTATATTTCTAACATACAGATCGGCAAGGTAGTCTATCGAATCACTCGTGCACATAGGTATAAAGTGTGCAGATTTATTTAACCGATCGACTATTACCCATATGCCGTCATTACCCTGTTGAGTCCTCAGAAGACCCATAACAAAATTCATCATGACATACTCCCACTTTCACTTGGCTATAGGTAAGGATTGCAACAAACCCCCCGGTCGCTGATACTCGGCCTTTATTTGTTGACAAGTAAGGCACCTTGAAACAAACAAAGCTACATCTCTCTTCATCTCCCTCCACCAAAACTGGCAACTAAGGTCATGATACATCTTTGTGCCTCCTGGGTGTACCGTAAGGTGTGACTCTCAAAGTACTTCCTCTCTATAAGACTCTAGCACAAAAAGTCGTTCTAAACTCGAATCTGAATGAACATTCAAACCCTTCTCCATCTTTCCACTGGGGATCTTCCCTCAGATAGTCTCTACTTCGTGATCACACTATTATACCTTTATAACCTGGTTAACTAAGGTAAGTTGTGCAACTGTGGTAAATAAGGTGGCCAACTCAACGGATTCACCCACGTGCAAGTCAAACTTGCCAATAGCACTCAACATCCCCCACTCCCCATATGGCAATACTAGCTACACTACTTACGAACTTCCTGCTTAAAACATCAGCCACTACGTTAGCCTTTTCTGGATAATAATGTAACTCAAAATCATAATCTTTCATAAATTCCATCTACCTCCTTTGCCTTAAATTCAAGTCCTTCTATGACAATAAATGCTTCAAACTCTTGTGATCGGAAAACACTTCAAATCTCTCCCCATATAGATAATGCCTCCAAATTTTTAAAGCAAAAATCACCGCCGCTAACTTTAGGTCATGAGTGGGATAGTTTTTCTCATATGTTTTCAACTACCATGAACTATACGCTACCACATTCCCTTCTTGCATCACTACACAGCCCAAACCTTCCCGAGATGCATTACAATAAACAAATAACCCAAACCCCTCTCCGGAATAATCAAAATTGGGGCAATGGTGAGTCTAACCTTAAGTTCTTGAAATATTTTTTCACAAGTCTTACTCCACACAAATCTAACCATTTTCCTCGTCAAATTGGTCAATGGTGAGGCCAATCTAGAGAAATCTTTCACAAAGTGTCGGTAGTACCTGGCTAAGCCCTAGAAACTCCGAATTTCAAAGGCATACTTAGGTTGTTTCCAATCTTACACGGCATCTATCTTAGATGAATCCACGATCACTCCTTTCTCGAACACCACATAGCCTAGCAACTGAACTTTGCTGAGCCAAAACTTACAGGTACAACCCACAAATGGTCATTGTGTTCTTTCTCAGAGGGTGAGTAAACTAAGAAGTCATCGAAGAAGATAACCATGAATCAATCTAAGAATTCATGAAAGACTCGATTCATCAAGTCCATTAATGAAGACGGTGCATTGGTCAACCCAAAAAGCATCACTAAGAACTAGTAGTGGCCATTCCATGTATGGAAGGTCATTTTCTGAAATATCCTCCTCCTTCACCCTCAATTGGTCATACCTAATCTCAAATCAATCTTAGAAAAACAATGAGACCCCTTCAATTGGCCAAGCATGTCATCTATTCATGGTACTGGACACTTCTTCTTAACAGTTACCCGGTTCAACTTTTGGTAATCGATGCACAGTCGTAATGTGTCATCTTTCTTCTTAGCAAAGAGAGCCAGTGCTCCCCAAGGTGATGTACTAGAACGAATGAAGCCCTTATCTAACAAATCCTAAAGTTGCACTTTCAACTCACACAACTCGGCTGGTGCAAACCTATATGGTGCCATGGAAATCGGAGCCGTGACTGACACTAAGTCAATTGAGAACTCAATCTCTCTATGTGGTGGAAACTTTGTGAGATCCTCTGAAAAAACATTCGGATATTCTTGAACTACTCTTGGCAATTCACCTTGAATTATACTACCCTCATCAGCTACCATGATGGCAAAAAAAAAACTCAACTCTCCTCGACCCTTAAAGTTATGCAATCGAGGAATATGACTATCACCTCGGTCACACATAAAGTAGAAGTATTCCCTCGAATGCGTACACACCAATACCTTCCTACGATGGCAATCTATCGAAGCCTGGTAGTGAACCAACCAATCTATACCCATAATTATGTCAAAAGCATGCATATCAAGAATAATAAAATCCAAAGAGAGTCAACGATCTGCGAAACCTCACAGGAGTAGCACACTCAACCCATTGCCACTCTACCCCCAATAAGTGTCTCAACCAACAGAGGAGACTCCAACAGCCCAAACTCCAAACCTAAAGCAAATGCAAAAGAAGATGATATGAATGAATGAGATGCACTAGTATCAATCAACACATTGGCAATAGAGTTGAACAACAAAAAGTTACCTCTCACTACGGAAGGTGCTGGCAACTTATCTGGCATGGTAACAGCATACACACGCCCTAAAGACCTCTGAAACTGAATTGTATTGATTATTGGAACCCCACACACACACACACATATATATATATATAAGTTCAAGGAATTTATTCCACTGTGTGTGGTGACTCTGGCCGCTAGGGAACAGATCTAGGTTAAATTGAGTAGCACACTCAACCCACTGCCACTCTACCCCTAATAAGTGTCTCAACCAACAGAGGAGACTCCAACAGCTCAAACTCCAAACCTAAAACAGATGCAAAAGAAGATGATATGAATGAATGAGATGCACTAGTATCAATCAACACATTGGCAATAAAGTTGAACAACAAAAAGTTACCTCTCATTACGGAAGGTGCTGGCAACTGATCTGGCATGGTAACAACATACACACGCCCTGAAGACCTCTGAAACTGAATTGTATTGATTATTGGAACCACACACACACACACACACACACACATATATATATATATAAGTTCAAGGAATTTATTCCACTATGTGTGGTGACTCTGGCCGCTAGGGAACAGATCCAGGTTAAATTGTGATGACTCTTGTACTCAACGATTGTAAGGAAAAGACTCGGGGTTAGGCTGGGTGACCTTCAATCGGATCATTTTAGAGAAAAGATCTGAGTTGCCACTTCGAGGATGACTATTGGTTCGTTATTAGATCCAACGGGCTTATTACCTCGAGAACTTTGTGACATGATACTTGTTATTCTTAGTACCCAAATAATGATGATGATTTTGCTTGTCTATTTTTAAGTAGAGAATGTTCGTTCTTATGTTCTTGAAAGACATCATTATTTTCAACTGATGAACTATGAAACCTTCTTTTTGAATAAGATTGTCTTTATCAAAACTGTATGTCAAACTAATTTCTATTATATGCATCTTATTTTGTAGTGGAACTTAGTTTTTAGAATTGTAATTACTATCCATGCTTCTACTTACTGAGTAATCAACTAACTTAGTTGTTTAACATCTCAAGTGAGAGAATGACTTAGAGTGGACCCGTGATGTAACGGGAACTCTATTGCATGGACCTCTAAGGCATTTATTTATTTTTTTTAGATTGTTATAACAATTTTGTGCATATTTTTTTGTTGAGATTCATTTAAGATTATTTTGTTATGTGAGTTGTTTGTGTCCCACTAGATATATGCATGGTATTGATTAGAGCTGAATTTGCCATTCAAACTTGTGACATATCACTGGATTAAGTTTTGATTTATTTATTACTGAATTATTGTTACATTTATTCTATGTAATTATGAATTTGTATTTAGCCTCACATGTCGTGGGCTAAGACCTTGCGTACCACGATCGGTCATGCTCGGATTTGAAGTGTGACAATTTCCAACCGTTTGAAAACAATTTATTGTGTATAATTTTCTTTTCTTCTTCCTTTTTATGTTTGGCTTAATAGAAAGTACGCAACAGTTTCTCAAGCTAAATTTGACCGTCACTATATAGCAATTCCCAACATCCTTTTGACCTATCCCATAATACACATGATTCGCAAGTCTGAATAAAACAAGTATAAAATTTAAATAAAATAAAATAAATGACAGGAATGACAAAAGCGACATGGTAAAAGACAACATTATGATGAACTCTTTGGAGTTGCAAAACTTAATCTAATTCACCGATAGCTTCGATAACTGGGGCTATACATGCAGCTCTCAGCATATGCGACCAAATTTTCAGGTTGAGGGAGACGAGTAGCCAAACCTACACAATTTAAAGACCATATTTATATAAACATAGTTCTAGAAGTTTATATATGCCATGACTCTTGAGAGCTGAACGGAAGGAAAGGGTCTAACCAAGTTCATAAGCTTTAGCAGCAACCTCGGAAGCAATGTGAGCGGAAATCTTTCTGATATTACTAAATGGTGGGTATATGAGCCCCTTGTCGAAGTTATCCTGTGATACCTCAGCTGCTAGAGCTTCCGCTGTTCCAGAGAAATGTTGGAAATAAGTTTCTCTTCAATATGCAGCTCAAATAAATCATTAGGTCACACAAATCGAAAACAAGAGAGAAAAATCGAAACTTGAACAGAACTAGGATTTTATCTGAGGGGCCAAGTTGGTGTCCGCCTCACACATTCCCCCCACTCCATTTGCATCAATGAATTGGCAATGGGTTGTGTTCTATATTAATATGATCAAATAATAAATTACAACATAATTTGCAATCAACTATTTTTAAAAATTTCAGTAATTTTATGATAATTTGATCATATAATCCCTCAATCACAATAAACAATTTTAATTAAATTTGAGCAAATAATTTGGAATTACAAGACAATACAACAGGTCATTAAAGAAAAGTATTTGTTCACACTACATATACAATTAAGTGGTCAACAAGGTTGGTGGCTGGCAAGAAAAGGAGTGTAATCTTTGGTCAATAACCCGTGTGTTCAATTGGTGAACAAGTGTTAAATAGTTGGTTTTTATACACCAATTAATTCACATATGACCACAAGATAATCAACGAATACACAAGATTGCACCAAATGAGATCAAACAGTGAAAAAGAACCATCACCAAACCCCCCTATATATTTTACTTCATTTCCTTTTATCAGTCCCAAGTAACTTACCGATCCAACAAAATCAAATAATCAAAATTTCTTTGACTGGGTCTCTTCTAACCATCATGGTCAAGCAAATTTGATCACACCCACCAAGGATTTTTTTTCTTTTTGTGGGGGGGGTGGCGGGGGAGGGGTTGCCAATACAAATCTATAGAGTTATCCAAAAGCCGAGGGGTACTATGGCACCCCCATCCCTATATGTAGTTCTGCCAACGCTAATATAAATCAATGCCAATTGCCACAGAATGCACAAGCAATGTGCAATGCGTAATAAATTGTTCATCAGTTTTGAGTGAGTTGCAAATAACTCCTAAAATCTCATTACCGCCAAGACAAAAAGTTTGTTTATAGAAGATGTGAGGCGTGCTGATGCAATGCCTCAAGATTTGCCTGTGTTGCATTTCTGTGAAAATAATCCATATATTCATAGAACATGTTGGCTTTTCATAAATGTTACATTCTCCTGTTATTAGTAGGAATTTTGTTCTCTGGAAACATTTACACAAGGAATAGACATTGATAGATAAAGGGTTCATATAAGTACTATCAAGAGTAAAAATATCCAACAAATAGCCATTGAAAAGAAACCATAATCTTCCAACATATAGTACTGTCACTTTTTTTAATTTATTATTATTGTTTTTATTTTTATAACTATCGTAAGTTGAGGATTCCCTAAATTTCAAAATTACTGTACACTTACAAGCTGCCAGAAGCATGTCATCGTGAACACGGATTGCACCAGAGATTATCAAACCCAGACCAAACCCAGGAAAAATGTATGCATTATTTGCCTGGATGAAAACAAAATATAGTGTAAGAGTCGGACCTAAATGTTTCATCTACAATAATTTGGACATAGTTTAAAAGAATTTATTACCTGGCCAGAAACATAAACCTTCCCATTGTATTCAACAGGGCCAAATGGGCTCCCACTTGCAAAAATGGCACGACCCTGAAGGCGACAACAAGAAGGAACAGATAAATAAAATGATTTAAAAAACAAACAAACAAACATCACCTTAATGATAGAATGTTTTTGCATTGATGTAGACACATAGAAGCTGCATAATTGTATTACCTGACTCCATGTATAAGCTTCTTCGGCAGTACATTCAGATTGTGAAGTTGGATTGGAGAGGGCAAGAATGATGGGTTTCTGCATGCAATTCATTTGAAACCAATGTCAGGGTCTTCCAGTACATAGTAAGCTAGTGTTTGATTTATTGAAATGAAAGTGATTCCTTAGTCTCTCTATAGAATGACCATTCCTTTATAATGATGATAGACAATTCCATTTGTAATACATTTTTCATAAGTTTTTAGTGAACCAAATATGAGAACGAATGTTCTGATGGGCTGATCATTCCATTCCAACTCATTCCAATGAACCAAACATAGCATAAGTTTCTGCCCACAAGTGCAAAACAAACAAATATAGATGCAATACCTCATTGAAGGATGCCATAGCCTCAATTACTTCTTTTGTGAATGTTCTTCCAGCTCCTGAAGATCCAATCAACACTGTTGGCTTGATTGCCTGAGGAAGCATGACAAGTTAATAAAGTGACCATAATCCGTCGCTCTAAGAGAAACACAAGGGAGGGGAAGGAAATTCACACCTTAACAGCATCAACAAGTTCTTCAACAGGTTCATGTTCATGGGCCCAGGGCTTCTTAAATTGTTGAAGTGTTTCCATTCGGGAATTGACAATCAAACCCTACAAAAAAGAAAAAGAAAAAGTATTTTGTAGTTGATAGAAAATTAACAAGAGAAGCAAGATAGTGGCTTCCTGCAAAGCACCACAGACACTTCTAAGAAGATGACGTGTCCGTGTCGTGTTCATGTCAGACACTAACACTCAGTTGGATACTTCCCAACACATGTCGAACAAACGTCTAAGTGTGTCCTATTCAAAAACAAAAAAAACAAAACAAAACAAAACAAAAAAAACAGAGAGAGAGAGAGAGAGAAGACCAGGACATGCTTCAGTTAGGGGACACACTTGTTAGTCGCTTAGACACACATGAAACACACTACACAAGTTTGAACAAAATAACTGAGGATCCAATGAAAAAAGAAAACCAATGTAGATTTATAATACACATGAAACACACTACACAAATTTGAACAAATAACCAAGGATCCAATGATAAAGAGAACAACTTCCCTCTTTAAACTTTCGAAACTAGTATTATGTTAATACATTTTTATTTATTTTTTTAATTGTCATTGAATGAAGTATTCATATGTATGTATGCCACATAACAAATATATAAAGCTATATATTTAGTGCATCTTCCACATGTCGTGTTTGCTGTACTTTTTAAAAATTTCCATGTTGACGTGTCCGTGTCCATGCTTCTTAGGTTGTATCCTTAATTACCTTTGAGTCAACAAGCCATATCTTCTTGCGGCTTTCTTCTAATGGGGCATCAGTCTGCATAAAAAATTAAGGTATAAACTTTCACCATGTTTTGTTAATTTTGTAATCTGATTGCAACTTTGCAAGAAACTGAAAGATAAGATATGTAGGAAATGAAAATAACATTGTAAGTTCTCACCTGTTTTGACATCTCCAGAGCTATGAGTTCTGCAATGCCAGTGCCAGCCTACATCAACCAAGTGACAGATGAGAAAAAAAATATGACCAGCTGGTCAGTGAGGGAGTGAATAAATTACAAAAATGGGGAATATACGCCGAATATCCTATTCAATTAGTATAGCAATTCAAATTTTATTAAATGGAATCTTCAGGGAAGACTAGTAAGAGCACACCTCTCCTGCTCCAAGGAACAGAAATGTGTGCTCAGCTAAGGTTCCCCCAACTAACTTTAATGCTGCCATAAGCCCTGCAAGGACCACGGATGCTGTCCCCTGGAACAAAGTAAATAACACAAATATTAAAAATACTTAACACCCAAACCCACGCAAATGCACATAGCAGCTCACTCAAATAGAAAAATGAAAACAAAAAATAAATGTACATACTACTGAGCCCCAATCATTTACCTGTATGTCATCATTGAAAACAAGATGTGTATTGCCATACTTTGCAAGCAGATCAAAAGCGTTATGGTTTGCGAAGTCTTCAAACTGCATAATATAGGTCAAGGTATAGAATTTGAAAACTATCCAATGAGTATATAAAAACATAAGCCTGTAATTTAGGGGAAGGTGACTAGCCTGAATGAGGACCTTCTCCCCATAGTTCTGCTTGACTGCAGTCATAAATTCATGCAGAAGTTCAGCATATTCCTGGAGAGGAAAAAATTAAAACACTTCAACAATATACAAACTATATTTGAATGGTGTAGCTAAGACTAGGCATGTTAGGAAACCGAATTTGAACCTGCCCAGTTGCCCTTCTTTGTCTGAGTCCAATGTAAAACTCATCGTTCAACAAATTCTCGTTGTTTGTTCCCACATCAATGGTTATAGGCAAGCACTAGTCCAATGTAAAACTCATCGTTCAACAAATTCTCGTTGTTTGTTCCCACATCAATGGTTATAGGCAAGCACTGGAAAGAACAAAAGATTACAACAACTACTTTTTCTTTCGTAAAAACAAGAAGCAATACAAAAAGGAATTAATGTAGGGTTTTAATCCCTCCCTCCCTCTCTCTCTCTCTCTCTCTCTCTCAGTTCTGCAGAAGTTAGCATTAGAGGAGTAGAATCTGATTATGCAACCAAAGGTTTTAGAAGGGTAACTTCCCACATCAATGGTTATAGGCAAGCACTGAAAAGAACAAAAGATTACAACAACTACTTTTTCTTTCATAAAAACAAGAAGCAATACAAAAAGGAATTAATGTAGGGTTTTAATCCCTCCCTCCCTCTCTCTCTCTCTCTCTCTCTCTCAGTTCTGCAGAAGTTAGCATTAGAGGAGTAGAATCTGATTATGCAACCAAAGGTTTTAGAAGGGTAACCAATCAAAGAACACATATAGGGAATTTCAGAAAAGTTTTGACTCGGCCATTTCAGGAAATAATAGTGTTGGCCTAAGGATACTTACAGCTGATGGACGAATCCCTCCAAGTGCCGTATACAAGGAAAGCTTCCCTACAGGTATCCCCATCCCCTGATTTACATTCCAAAAATTGTCAAAACAAGTCATTTTCACAAGCACACAGATGCACAGAACAAAATCCCAATTCAGCCGCATCAAAAGTTCAGTCACATGAATTTGTAGAGAATGAATATATGTACCAGTTACCTGGCAGCCAAGATCCCCAAGACCCAAAATCCTCTCCCCATCAGTGACAACAATAACCTGAATTTTCCTCTGAGGCCAATTTTTCAGTACCTCGAGAATTCTTCCCCTGAAAACGAGCTCATCATCAATCAGTTTCAATCAAATGAGGAACAAACGCGAAAAAGCAACGAAACATACTTTTCTTTCAAACTAATAAAAAGACCCTGGGGACGCTTGAAGATGCACCCATATTTTTGGCATGCCTCACCAACTGTTGGAGTGTACACAACTGGTAGCAGCTCCTCAACATTGTCAATCAAAAGTTTGTAGAACAGCCTTTCATTCATCTCCTGTAGAAGAGGACAAGTTCAAAATGGCATTGAATTTAATTCTTCAACCATACAATTCCATGATTAATTGAGGGCTTGGAATGATTTGGGTTTTAGTGGCTGATTAGCAGTACTGAGATTTACTAAATTATATAAGTTAAAATCAGCTGCATATGTTTATTCAGAAATCTCAGCATTCTTTTGAAATTTCAGAGTCATCGGGTACAAAAATTACAAGAAAGGACGAAGAGCTTGAAAGTTTAATGAATATAACGAATGGCATACCTGAAGATCCATCATGGCCATGTACCTCTGCAGTGGTACTTGATATTGGCGGAAATTGTGCATCATTTTCTTGATCTGGTCAGCAAAGTGGAAAAAAGTTATATTGTTAAAGGAGAAAAAAAGTCGGATGATCTAAAAGCTGAGACAGTCCATTCTGAAAAACCTGAAGTTCTTGGGAAATAACTACTGGGGGAAGAAGACCACGCAAGAAATGGGCATCCCTCTCTTTCTCAGAGAAAGAGAGCCCTTTGTTGTGGTGTGGATCCCGCAACAATGAATACCCACTGCAGAAACCAAAAATAAAAATAAAAAAATCTCCTAATAAGTTTCTATTACATAGATAAAAAAAATCATTGACATGGAATCACGGAATTCAATGTGCTATGGAGACCACGATTTCCTCGAAAGAAACAATAATGGTTATCTCAGTGAATCAACAAGAAGGTTAAAAATGTCATCCGAAAGCAATAAAGCCATAGAGGAATACAGAAGCAAAGAGATTGATGATGCTATGCAACCATTCTGCCATAAAGAGATTGACAATTTCCAGTCAACAAAGGTCTTAATAATAAACCCCACTGGAAACAAACTGACGGGAAACTAAAAAGAGCAAAAATGGCAGTAGATGAGCTAAAACATATATTAGAGTAGTTACGAAATTGCAGATATTTAGTTAGCTTACTGCTTACCTATGCAATTTAATTTTCAGAATTATAAGGAACCAAAGATATTTTAGAAAATCGAGATGAATCAAATCAAACCAAACCAAGCCTTAAGTCCCATCAAATAAGGTCGGCTACATAAATTATTCTTCTCCATTTGGCTCTATCAAGAGCTACTTGGTTAGGCAAATTAAGGAGGTTCATATCTCTATTTACTAAACAATCCCACATCAATCTAGGTTTGCCCCTTCCCCTAGCATTTTCATCTACTGTAACTGTATCGCATCTTCTCACTATTGTCTCAGTTAGTCTCCATTGTATATGACCAAATTGTTGAATATAAGAATTAGAATATATAAAATCTTTTTATTTTTTAGTATTATGTATATAATCAATGATTGTGTCAATCACTAATTTAGTACTTTATTTATATCGTTTCCTAAATTGTTTCATGAATCTATTATATGTACATGGCATTTACCTCATTCATAGGTAAGCCAAATCATTCTTTTCATCCTTTTTGGTATCAAACCCAACCCTAGCCACCTCTTTCTCTACTACCCATCACCATCAGCTGCCTCCTTCCTCCTCCCTAGCCACTGACAGACCTCTCCAGCCCCTTTCAGCCACCCAACAGCCCTTCCCAGTCCTTCTTCTCCACCCAAAAGCCTTAGCCAGTGCCTACCCAGCCCCCGAAAGTCCCTGTTCTCTACCTCTTCCGCTCGGCAGTCTTCTACAGCCACTGCCGAGGCTTTTCTGGTTGCCGACCAGCTTCTTGCTGATCTAGAACAGTTCGGCAGCCCTTCTAGGGTAGTCTAAGCTTGGTTTTTCCCCTCTCAAGGTTTTGTACTGATGTATTAAGCACTTTTTCCAGCTCTTTTGCTCCTTTGGGCTACCGGGTTTATTTAGTAGCATTTATTTGGATATGCCGTTGAGTTTTTTCCAACTTCTTGGCCTTTTCTGGACTGTGTTGCTGTGACTCTGTGTGTTTTGTCAATTTTGAGAAGAGAAAAGTTAGAGGTATGAGTGGTATCTCATCCCCTTTTATATTAAATCATAAGCATAATTACAGGAGTGCCCTAAGGCATAAATAAGAGACCAATCCGTTATAGCAAATAAAGACACTGAATATACATAAGAATAAGATAGGAAATATTCTAACACATTCTTACACTCCCCCTCAAGCTGGTACGAAGATATCTCTCATGCCCAACTTGTTGAGAATGTCACGAAATGGTTTATTCCCTAATCCTTTGGTGAGAACATCAGCCAGTTGGTCCCTAGACCTCACAAATGGCGTACATATAGTGTTACTAGTGAGCTTTTCCTTGATAAAATGTCTATTAATCTCCACATGCTTGGTCCTGTCATGCTGAACTGGATTGTCCGAATTGTGAGCTATATTAATGTCTGCCTTATTGTCACAATATAGTCCCATAAAATCTGTCTGATGAATCCCCAAGTCTGTCAAAAATAATCTAATTCATAATAGCTCACACACATCCTGAGTCATAGCTCTGAATTTGGCCTCTACACTGGACCTCGCAACTACATTTTGTTTATTGCTTCTCCAAGTAACTAGATTTCCTCCAACAAAGGTACAATAGCCAAAGGTTGACCTTCTATTAGTGGCTGATCCAGCCCAATTAGCATCTATATATGCCTCCACACTAAAGTGACCATGTTTTGAGAAATAGAGACCCTTTCCCCGAGAATACTTCAAGTACCTCAAAATCTGCATAACCGTCTCTAAGTGAGTTGCACGTGGAGCATGCATAAATTGACTAATCATACTCACTACAATAGCAATGTTAGGGCGCAAATGGGATAAGTAGATAAGCTTACCCACTAGCCTTTAGTATCTCCCCCTATCTACAGGCTCACCTCCTTGATCCTCACTAAGCTTCAATCCAGGCTCTAATGGTGGATCACAGGCTTTACTTCCAAGTATTCCAGTTTCTTTTAACAAATCAAGCACATACCTTCTTTGACATATGAAGATGCCAACTTCGGACCGAGCAACCTCAATGCCTAGAAAGTACTTCAAGCTACCTAAGTCTTTGATTTCAAACTCATTGGTCAAATACTCTTTTAACCGAGGAATCTCCTCAACATCATCCCTTGTGAGTACAATATCATCCACATAGACAATAAGAGTTGTCGTCTTACCATGTAAGGAGTGTTTCACAAACAAAGTATGATTAGCTTGACTCTGTTTGAAATCATATCGCAGCATGGTCTAAGTAAACCTCTCAAACCAAGTCCTAGGAAACTGTTGAAGTCCATAAAGTGACTTGCGTAGTCGGCACACTTTTCCTTTGATTTTAACATCCTCAAAGCCTGGGAAAATGTCCATGTACACTTCTTCTTCCAGATCTCCATGGAGGAAAGGATTCGTCACATCAAATTGATGGAGAGGCCAGTCGAGAGTAGAGGCAAGGGAGAGGACTCTGACAGAGTTCATCTTGGCAACAAGTACAAATGTCTCATGGTAGTCTACTCCATAAGTCTGAGTAAAGCCCTTGGCCACCAATCTTACCTTGTTGCGTTCAATTGAACCATCAGCTTTGTGTTTCACGGTGTACGCCCACATACATCCAACAGGTCGTTTGCCCTTAGGTAAGTCAGCCAATTCTCATGTGCCATTTTTAACAAGGGCTCTCATCTCCTCCATCATGGCATGCTTCCACTCAGGAGTAAACTTTAGACAAAAAAGCTTTATAGGAAGAAGACAGATTAGTGTATGAGACAAAATAAGAAATAGGACGTCGAGTACGAGACCTAATCCCCTTCCACTTAGCAATGGGAACCTCTAGATCAGAAAATTTAGAAAGAATAGAGTTACCTAGAGTTTCATCAGAAGAAGAGGATTTCAGACACTCATCAGAAGGAGAAGATAGCAGTGGAGAATCCAAATTGGTCTCTTGTACCCAACTTTTTGTCTATCCTTGTCCCTGACATAAACTTTGCCGTCTTTCACTGCAGATTCAAACTCAACATTCACAATAGCTGGGTCACCATCACCATTAACATCCTCAACGTGCTCAATCACTGATGGTAATGATATAGGAATCGCATCACACCAAGGCTCTCCCTGAAGGGATAATTAGGACACCGGTGAGGACAGGAAGTAGAACTGAGACACAAAGAAAGACACATCCATAGAGACAAACCATTTCCGAAAGGGTGGATGATAACACTTGTAGCCTTTTTGTGTGGTGGAGTGACCCAGGAAAACATACCGAAGAGACCTAGGATCCAACTTACCATGAGTAGGAGAATGGTTATGAACAAAGCACACACAATGGAGAAACCAGAAGAATGGGACCCAAACAAAACCTGAAGAGGAGTTTGTTTGTGGAGAACTTGGATAGGAAGACGATTGACGAGGAAGGCTGCAGTGAAAACAGCTTCTCCCCAATATGATGTAGGAACACGCATTTCAAATGACAGACAACACGCAATATCAAGAAGATGGAGATTTTTACACTCTACAACACCATTCTGTTAAGGGGTATTGGTACAAGAAGTTCAGTGAATAACACCATGAGTGGCAAAATAACTGGCAAGGCCAAAGTCAATGTATTTCTCCCTATTATCAAAACGCAAAATTTGACAACCACCCCAAACTGAGTGCAAATCATTTTATGAAAATTTTGAAATACAGAAAAAACCTCACATTTGTCTTTCATAAAATACACCCAGGTGGTCCTAGAACAATCATCAATAAAGGTGACAAACCATCTTTGACCCTTTAAAGACACAAAACGAGAGGGACCCCATACATCAAAATGAATCAATGAAAAAGAAACTAAACTTTTATTAATAAAAGGAGCAAAAGAAGCTTTGTGCTGTTTTCCAAGTTGACACGACTCACCTTGCTTAGTTTCCAGTTTTCCAAAACACTTTTCAAAAAATTCTACTTTCTTATGTTTCGTGTTTTTTTGTTTTTACTGAATTTTTTTAATATTTTAAGCAATTTTTTTACTTTTTAGATACACCTAACATAAATACACCTAAAAAGTAAAAAAATTGTAAAAAAAATCTTCTAAAAATTCACTAAATACCAAAAATACAAAAAAAATACAAGAATTCAGTACATTTTTTGTATTTTTATGTATTTATTAATTTTTTTAAATATTTTTTCACAAATTTTTTACTTTTTAGATACATCTAAGTAAGGTGCATCTAAAAAAATTTAAAAAAAAATGTTTAAAATTTAAAAAATATTCACTAAAAACAAAAAAACATAAAAATTAAAAAAGTCAATTTTCAAAAAATTTAATCCAGAAAACTCAAACCAAACACAATGACTCATAGTGAAACTTATAAACATTATTTTTGAAAAAAAACTGAAGGAAAAAGGTGCTTAAGTAACAAAAAAAGGTGGATGCCCAAGACGGCGGTGCCACAGCCATAGGTCTTCCGTGGTAGATGGTAACTAAATGGTTGAATGAGCCAGCTTGTCTACTTGATCTAGTGTCACGCCCCAAGCTCTGTGACAACGCCGCACACTCATATAAGTGAGCATGCAAGGCTAAGAATCCAATCACATAATCCATAAAATAAAATACTCAAATTAAATCCTTAATTGTCATAATGCCAGAATCCATAAAAATAAA